AATCTGAGAATCCTCTTGGACTCATGACTCCTGCTTGAAAAATACATGGCAACCATGGCTACAGGACTTTTGCATGGATTAATTTGATGTGCCTGTTGCAGCTGTTCCTGAATGTGAGGTTCTAGTCACTGTTACTCATGTCTTAGAAACTTCCGGGTTAAATTACTACAATGTCTTCCACACAGAGCTGTTTTTGAAGAACACTCAAAAGCTTCACAAACAGTACCTTTTTGTGGGACAGACAAAATATGCCCTGTTGCATTCTGCATCAGTGCATCCAGTCTCCAGTTCTTCAAAGTTCACTCATGCAACATCACTGCTGCACAAGCTACTCTGGCTTCCAGGTGCAATTCAAGGTGTCGGTTGTCACTTTTAAAGCACTACATGGCACAGAGTTAGTTTACTTGCAGGACCATCTATCTCTAAGGCAGACATGTCAAACTCGCAATGTCACGTGATGTCACGCGACGGTTTTGCCATTGCCGGCAATGGGGTGGGTGCAGCTTCCGGGTGACGCGTCCGGGCCATGGGCCAGCAGTTTGACACCCCTGCTCTTAAGGGTTTCTGTCCATTCCATCAAGTCAAATAGGGCAATCATGCTCCCAGCCCTGTATCAAACAGTGCCATCTTCTGGGAAAAAGGAAATATGTCTTGTTTGTCACAGCCCCTGACAAATGAAACAATCTCTCCTCCCAAGTTTCCCTCTTAGTCTTCTCCTCAAGCATCATGTGCTTATGAAAGTTATGTAATGCCATATGTACTGTAGTATTTTAATTTACTATGGTTTTATGTGGTTTTTGTATGTACTGTTTGTTGCCCAAGCTATTAATATTTAATATTTATTTTATGTAACATTTAATTAGTATTTAAGATGGGCAGCTGTATACATTTTACAATATAAAATAAATAAGAGTGAAAATAAAGGCCCTTACAATGAATGGGAATAGTCTCGTTCTTTTCCACTGAGAGATTTACAAGGGAACATCTACCAAAAACTCTTCTAAGTTCTACATCCTTTCTCCATTCCCGCTCAAGAAAAAAAAACTTTTCTATCCAGAATCAGAATGAACTGCACTATACGGGCAAAACAAGTCTCCCTAATTATAAAAAGCTTGAAGTATATGTCAAATAATATAGGTGAGTATGCTAATATATGGAATGTGCACATGAAATATTCAAAACTAAATAACATCTCATAATGTTGAAATTCATTTTTGGTGAATTCTAAATAGTCTATTACATGTAGTTCTCAACTTACAACAGTTTGTTTAGTGACTGTTCAAAGTTACAATAAAACTGAAAAAAGTGACTCATGACCATTTCTCACAGTTATGGCCTTTTCAGCATCCCCATGATCATGTGGTCAAAATTCAGGGACTTGATAACTGGTTCATATTTATGACCATTGCTGTGTCCCAAGATTATATGATCACCTTTTGCGTCCTTCTGACAAGCAAAGTCAATGGGGAAGCCAGATTCACTTAACAACCAGGTTACTAGCTTATCAACTGCAGTGATTCACTTAACAACTGAGGCAAGAAAGGTCATAAAATGGGGCAAAACTCACATAAATGTCTCAACAATATAAATTTTGGGATCAATTGTGGTCATAAGTTGAAAACTACCTGTACATTTATATGGCCATATAATTTCTTATTTATCCAAGATAAAATTTGGAAAAGTCAGCAGAAACTATTATCTATCATTATCTTCATTCTCTCTTTTCTTTCTATAGGATTAGATTAGCATTCTCCAATAATACACTTAGGGACTTGCTTGAATTATTCCAGACAAGGAACCCTTTTCTCTCTCTAATTGATACACACACACACACACACGCACACATATATATACACACACACACACATACATACATTTGTATAATGGAAAATTATACAAATTTTATAATCTTGGTCTAAAGAGAAATATGATTAAGGACTATCTCAGAACCTGTTTCAGCTTAACTATGTCCTCCCTCATAAAACCAACCTCCAATAACCTTGCAGCAATAATGCTAGGGGAAGGAAGACCACATCTTTGTGCTTTCTTTTCTTATTCTTAATATTCATTATTATATCAATGAGAATTGATATAAGATGCTTTGCAATCTTGAGATTTTACAGTAAGTATTTTAGGAGCAGAGATATAATAAATACAATTCATCATATTGGGTCAAAAGTAAGTGTAAATATGCTACTGTTGCATAGTTTCAAATAAATCAGATCCTTTCTAATTCAAAAACTCTTAAAAAGCACAGTTTTCAACAAAAATAGGTATGTTCACAGAACACTACTAGATTACAAATTATTTCATCATAGCTTAAATATGCTACAAAGTAATTTATATTTCAGTGTGTTAGCTCAGAAAACTAATATGATACACTTAGATAATTGTTTCATGCTACCAGCCCTGGTGTCATAAATTCTACTCATCATTTCAAATGTACTCTGTTTATGTCTTTTCCAAAAAGTATAGCCTTTCAAAGAGCTTTCAAAAAATGAAAATGATGAATGGTAATTTTGTATGATTACTATATAATCAGCAAAAGAGAAATGGCATCTGTGGGCACATTATCACCCCAGACTTAAATAGTTATCCACCTAAGATGTAATAATGATATAGGTAAAATTGTAATCTCTTTTATACTTTTGCAGTATATTCATGTGCAAAATATTATAATGATTCTAATACTGCGGAAAAGACATGGCACAAGTACATACTACCCACTCACCCAATCTCCAATGTAAATGTGTACAAATTTTGTTACACATTAAAATAATGTTGAAAACTGTTCTACTGTCCTTCTTGTCTGAATATGTTGTAGAATGGAAGCACTATTATTATTTCAAAATAAAAAATAGAAGAAATAAGAGCTGGTAGAGAAATAACTAAAACAGCCCTATGACAAACTAAGAACCTGAGAACTCAAAAAAAATTACTTTATTTTAATATTTAGTATTTTAGAAAAGGGAAATGATTAACTGCACAGGGAGTAAACGTATTAATTCAATTTAATTAGATTATATTATTGTGGATCAAGACATGCCTACTTTTTGAAAAGCATCTTCTGGTACTTCAATCAAAGACCAAGTCAAGGTTACCCGGTATTGCCTTGAAAAAAAGGCTACCAATCTCTGACATAACTATTTGCCAGGAAAATTGTGTGGGTGGGCTAATTACTGTACACAGACATCTAATTATCTAATTCAATCAATAGAGGATTGTATTCCCCTTGAATATTGGTTTATAGTTGGTGCATGTAGATACAATTCTGTTACATATAATATTCAATGAATTTAGAATTACGGTAACATGTACATATTCCATTTACTTTATAAAATATCTGTACACTACTTTGTGTTGGGAAAAAAAACTGAATAAAAAAAGAAATCAAGGTAAAACAATTTTAGTGCATACTTGACATTGTCATTTAAGAAAAATTTTACTGATAAAAACCAAGGATTACAACACTCAACAAATGTTTACATACTGAAAGTTGTCCAGATAAAAACTGTGGAACATCTCTCAACATGCCAGGACTCATGGGAGAAGTGACTGATATGGAAGGCCGATCCATTTTCTGAGATTCAAATGAACTAGAACCTGAAAGTGTAATTAATTTTAATTCATTAAATTACCAGATACATAATTCATAATTTATATATATTATATACCCCAAAAATATATCAATAGAACTTTAAGTAAATGAAAGCAATGCAGCTAAAGCTGAACAAATGCAGATCCCTCATTTGAAAAGAAAATTTTATTGATATTTCACTGACTGAAATTTATGTTAGATAATTAAAAATGATAAATTATAGATATTATAAAGCATGACAATCTAAACACTTAAATTATGCAATTTGCCATATTCTCTATATATTTTGCTGCTCAGAGGAATTGATTTGATTCTCAAATTACTCCTGGATTAAATAAACTGCAGTAGTATTTTACAATTAGAAAAACAAATTATAAAAATTAGTATTTTTCTTTTTCCAGAAAGTATATTGTTGTTTTTTTTCATGCTGTGCTAGTAAAATACTAAAACTGCTGACAATTGTGTGATATACTTAATGTTTGAATTTTCCTAAAGCCATAAAAATACTTGGAAATTTAAACAAGTTTAGAAAGTCAATGTAAAGGAAAAGGTGACTTCTGACAAAACAGTTATTAAAGAACGAGTAAAACGTAACAAAGATATGTATGTAGAAACAGAATAGTAGCTATACCTCAATTTTCAGATGGATATTACATCTAACAAATAAAACTTACTGGACTCCAACTGTGCATGCGTACTGTCAGGTATTCTGGGAATATCCCTGCAATTATGAAGAATAAAATTTAACATATTGTATTTAGCCAACACAGCCAGTTAGCATATAATAAATGCGAAAATAAGGGAAGCATAACAGAACACTTGAAGCTCCAAAAATATACTTATTCAGAATACGTTTCTGAATATCAACATCAAACTGAAAACAGTATTTTGTCTTCTTTTCAGTTGTATAAAATGCAATATAGAAAAATATATGGGTGATCTTCATTGTTTTAAAAAGCTAAAAAAAAAATAAAACATTCCATGAGGAGGAGATCATGTTTAATAGATATCAATAAACCTTGCAGTAATCAAGTCATTAGAGTATTAAAAGGAAGTAAACTAAGGATGAATATTAATTGGTTACAGAACACTAAACCTTGTAATCTTTTTGGTTTTGCATGATATAAACTTATCTTGAATATTAATGAGGCTATGTGCAAATTTTAAATAATTAAAGAAGCATTCTATAATATAACTCACCCAATTGGCCTTGAAACTACAAGTTCCACTTGTGGCTCTGGTTTGGATTCAAGAATGATGTTATATACTTCTTCAAAAGTGGCTCCTTGCAAAAGCCTTCCATTCCATTCTAATACTTCATCACCTAAAAATATAACCATCATAATCTGTTTACTGAAGAAAACTAGATCTCTGAACTCTTATCAGTATTAGTGACATTTGATCTTTATAATTTGCTTAAGTTTAATTTTTTTTTAAAAAAAGGCTTTATGTGAGCTTTGTGAAATAAATACAAAATGCATTTATACTTAAATAACAAATATATCCATTAAAAGATTTTTTTTACTTTAAATGGCATATTAGTTCCTAAAATAAAGTATGTACAACATTATTTCACCATGCATTATTTATCTTTTAATATATGTTCTATAGAACACTGCAACTGAGTGTAAAACAAATAATAAATATATTTAAAATAAGACAATGATTTCCACAATCTTCATGTTAGATGTTGATTTTAAATTGCAGTTGCAACAAGTGGCTTCTCCTTGACATAATTGAAGGACACCTTTAAGTTGATGATAAAAATATAGGCCTCTTCCCAAAGAAATAAATGAAAAGGATTCTTAAATAAAAAGATGGACAGAAGCCGCAGCAATATGAATTCACTAAATTGCACTGATGATGGATGTACAATACATTAGAAAATCTGAAGAACTAATTTGGGGAGAAAATCTCTCCATGTGATCATAAAGAGTCAACCAAGTTGATGGCAAATAATCAAAAAGTAAAAAAAAATGGGGATCCCCGGCATAAGTTAGCTATAATCTGTATCACAAGAAAATTCTTGGAACACCAATAAAATGCAAGTGATCTCACTCACAGTATACATAACAAATGTTCTTTATTTTCAGTGGAACTTCATTAAAAATGCTTAGACTTTAAAAAAAAAAACCTATCTCGCTAGGAATGTTAACTCAGACACCAAGTAGACGTGATTCTATCTAAAATATTTTCTCTTTCCTCATATAATTTAAGCAAATTTAATTCTAATTTTTTAAACATTAAATAGACTGTCACTATTTGCTACAATGCTCAATTCAAAACATTGAGTTTTAGCTTTAAAACCGTAAGCTATCAGGGACTAGTTACTTGAAGAAGTTTCTGAATATGACCAAATATTAAAATGCCCAGAGAAATATTTTCTAAGTCACATATCATTATTTTCAACTAAATAACAGATATGGAATATCATACCTTCTCACCATTATCATTTGTTTCTTATTTATCTGCCATAATTGTAACTGTCATTATAAAAATATACCCACCAGATATGCTGAAAAATCCTAAGAATTAATCATCTCAAATTTTGCAACAAAATAAAAAATATACTGTTAAGAGGAAAGGTTTTTAATAATACAGTTGTGCATCCTAGTATTGATTACATACAAACTAGTCTAAAATTCTTTCTTAATTATAAAATTTTGAACAGTTCTCATACCTGGTCTCAGATGTCCAACTGTGTCAGCTAAACTTCCTTTTTTTACTTTGGTGATAAATGCACATAGTCGACCTGATTCTGTCATCTTTCCTCCAACCACCTGTTTAAACATATTTTAAAGGTTCACAGAGGTCTTTTTTCCTCAGATCAGTTTTAATTTGGTACCCATACTTACATCAAATATATTAGACTTAATTGATCAGGACATTAAACAAATAAGGTCAGTACTTTCTTATGGGTATTTTTCCAGAAATACTTTTAGCTAGTTTAGTTCAGATCTGTTAGTTCGATCAGGTTACACTTCCATCAAGTTAATGACCAATTTCATATATAGAAGCTCTGTGTATATACAGAACATATAAATATGAGCTGTATATTATTGCTAATGCAAATTGGTTCACTATAGTTTATATCGTATTTGGACAAAAATTGAACATATAGGTAACCCTCACTTATCAACTGCCTTGTTTAATGACCGCAAATGTAACTGCAGTCACTAATTGTAATTGCCAAGTGCCGAAATTTTGATCATGTGGCAACAGGAATGCAGTTGTAAGTGCGAGGCTCAGTAATGTCACTTTTTTTTCAGTTCCATTGTAACTAAACAAATGGTTGTAAGTTGTATTCAAGTCCTCTGTTATGATGAGAGAAAATTTATCACTTCCACAAACTAAAACATTTTTTGCATACACATATGTAAATGCCCAGAGATCTATGCATAATTTCATCAAACAATTCAGTTTGTAACACTGTAACTCAATCCAAACTATATTTAAAAGCATGTAATGGAACCCTAGTGCATTTTTTTCCATTTTGTTTTTAACTTTAACTTTGAATGTTTAAATTATAGTTGTGGGGAAGCAACCTGCACAGTGCAAACATGAGAAAAAAGGGTTACACACACAGAGAGAGAGAAATGTCTACTAAAGAAAGAACATATGCAGAAGAGATAGTACCGTATGAGTATATTGAAGAACTGTAGAAAAAATATCCCTAATTCAATTAATATATACCACTGAATAAAAGTGAAGTTAAATTGGTCCTAGAAAATACTGCAAACTACAAGGTATAGGAATTGATGAAATACTAGTAGAAGTGTTTTAAACTTTGCAAGATGAAGTAATTAAAGTGCAAGTGACAATTTGTAGATAGTTAGGGAAAAGTGAGCAGGGGCCAAGCAATTGAAAAGTATAAATGTGTATTCCAATATCAAAAAGTACTGTGCTAAAGAATGCTCAAATTACTAATCAACTGTACTTATTTCACATGATAGTAAACTAATCTTCAAGATTTTGCAACGCAGATATCAACAATACTTGAAAGAAAACTGCTAGATGTACAATCTTGATTCAAAAGAGGCAAGATAACCAGGATCACACTACCAATATTCAGTGAATAATTGAAAAGGTAACAGAGTTCCACAAAGATGTCTATTTTTTATTTTTGTTTTTCACTAACATTTTGATTATAGTTGGCAACAAATTGTGGATAACCATTAAAAATATAAATGAAATGGATCATTTCATCTGCCTATTCAAGAATGTGAATGATGGTTAGGAAGCAACAAATAAGAACAGAATATTAAGCAACTAAATGCTTCAAAACTGGGAATAGATCACACCAAAATTATATATTGCCATCCAATTTATTTACCTGAGATTTGCTCAAAAAAATAATAGGATTGTAACTATATCAGCTACTTGGGAGAAAGACTGTGACAGATGCAGGCAAAATAATAAATTGCAAGAACTATCTTTAGAATGGTATATTGAGTCCACTTTTCCTTTTTATTAAGCTCTCAGACCAGAGAGATAAGGTGTTACATGCCCTCATTTACAAAGTTTGATATGACTTCCCTAGCCTCAGAGGGGAGGAATTCATTATTACAAAGTGTATACTTTGTGTGGTATTTTTACTTAGAGAGACCATCAGGGAGCAGTACATAACAACTTTCATTCTTTAGATAAGAGTTATCGCACATCTGTAGTCATGATCTTTCAATGGGGCTCAAATCCTTTAGTGGGAATTGAATTCCTGTAAAATGTATTTATGAAAGTCATACAACTGAGAGCATGACATATGTAGCATCTGTATTTCTCAATCTTGAAGGATTGAGTTTTATTCTCCAATTGTTTCCAGCTACATTGTCAAGGAAAGATCATCAAAAATTTAATCTGTGATGCTTATGTAAATAATTATGTATAGTACTTTTGGGCAGTTCAGGCTAAATATACTAAATATAGCCACCTATGAAAATAATGCACAATATTTCTAGTCTATATTAAGCCACACTAAATATAACTGATCAAATGAAGTTATTGAGCAACCTATATTCATTTAAATTTATGGTAACTGAGTTCAGCTAACCTAAATTTGAGTGAATAAGGGCCTGCATTCAATGTTACATACGTACACATTCATCCAATGTTTCTGTCTTTGCATTCCAACTTCTTCTTTTCTTGCAAACCTGCTCCAAATTTGCTCAAATACTCTTTTTGAACTGTTTTGAAGTTCAAAAAGGTTTTGAATTGATAATACTTTAATTTGATGTTATTAAAATTTTATTTATTTGTTCAAATTTTATTGCCACCTATCTCACATATGTGATTGGACAGCTCACACAGTTAAAAAAAACCCCACACAATACAAAGAAATTATCAAAATATTAGGAACAAAAACCATTAAGACACACTTAAACAATTAAAAACCATTAAAATTCATAAAAACAAATTGAAGGAGAGTGCAAGCCATTTTACTAATAGTACTATCATTCTGAGACTCGACACCATCACTGGATCCCCAGAGATGATGACAAACCCATGTCTTCAAGCCCTTTTGGAAGGCCAACAGGATTACAACCAATCTAACCTTGTGGAGAATGATGTTCCATAGGGCAGGTGCCGCAGCAGACATGGCTCTCCTCCTGGGACCCATCAGATAATATTCCTTAGTAGGCGGGACCCGTAACATGCCCCTTCTCCCAGATCTGATGGGGTGAGTAGTTGTAACCACAGAAAGCCAATCCCTCAAATAACCCAGCCCTATGTCACATAGGACTATATAGTCATTACCAGCACCATAAATAAATCCAGAAGGAAACTGGCGACCAATGCAACTCCCAGAGAAGAGTTGTAATATCCTTTAATTTTAAATAATTAGTTAATTTTAAGTAATTATTAATTAATAGTTCTTAATAAATCTATGACAAGAAAAAATAAAGCATCTAGAGAATATTTATTTATTCAAACTTATTGGCCATCCAACTCCAATGGACTCTTTATGATTAAGCACTTTTCGTTAACTGGTTGTAAGTAGTATCTTTGCTTTGAAAAACAGTATTAAGATATATAAAAAATAATAACAACTATTTCTAATAAAAAATATTTGCATCTGAATTGAAAACTTTGACTACTTACCTTAAGTCCAAGCATTGCTCCTGAATCTCTAGGCACGCTTCCATCTTTTAAGCGTTTATTTAACAAAATTCGGCCAATTAAGCCATCTCCATCTTTGGATGGCTGCCATGTTACAGGGTGCTATAGTATACATTAAACAAAATAAAAATCAGCAAAATTAAATTTGTGAAAAGGAATCCCAGCATCACATTTATTTGGCACTATTAAGTACTGTGAAATAGCTATGATTACACTACTACTGCTTTTAAAGATAGGAATCAGAATTCCTATCATTCCATTAGATTATCAGAAGTCATTTCTCACATCTTCCTAAATAACTATTCCAAATGTACCTAAATTATACTTACACACTGAACACCAATTCAGCCTATCATTATGGATTTGAAAACAGTGAACATCATTTCTGAATATAGAGAGTATGAATGGGGGATATAACACAAAAAATAATTTAAAAGTTAATAAATGAGATATGATCTTAAGTAATTAAAAAGCCATGTATTACTTGAAAATAAATCCCACCATGTTCAATCTCTAACATTCATTTAAATAAACTAATAATTTAAAATTTTCTCTTAGTTATATTGAACACTTAATTCTTATTTACTTCACATAGGTTCCAGAATAGTACATGTCAGTATTTCTGAAAATTTAGCCAATGATTTCAAACTTAGTACTGGTTTTGTATAATCATAGCACTTTGTCACATAATGTACTAGTTTCATGCTCTCACAACTACACAAATAAACATGCACATTACATTTGGCAACAGTGAAAGCCTACAAGAGAAAGCAAGAAAGAGCAATAATAAACCACATACAGCAGATACAACTACTACCCTATAATGCAGATAATGTCACGGTGACAAAACAAATGAAATGGCAATGAAAGGGAAAAAAGAAAAACAATTCTGTCCAAATAGGTACAATTCCCCCTCTCCCATTTTTTTCAACCTGGGAATTAAACTATTAATTTAATTTCCAACCCCAGGGGCATTAAAGTGGTAATTAAACATGCCAATCCAGAAATAATTCTCATTGTTTAATCATAAAGATAATATCACCAAAATAGTATTGCATGTCCATAAAAGCAATGATTCTTTTTAGTGCCTGGATAATTTTGTTCTTCCTTATACTTTTGGATGTAATCCATAATTGTGGTTTTGTTTTTCTTTTCTGCACCTCAAGAAATGTTAGATTAGACCTGCCTTTGTATTCTTGATCTGTTTTAATGAGTGACAGAGAGCAAACAAAGACCAAATGAGCAGATTAAAATGCAGGCACCACAAAGCCAATACCTTTTCACTATGGCTATGTTCCTCATTTAAAGTTGTACTACTACAAGTGTCTACCCCAGAGTCCTTAATCTGAGGTTCAGACCATTCCAAGTCCTCTTCCAAAGACTGGCCACCAAAACACACCATTTTCTTTTGTCTTTCAGATAAGATGTTAGAGTCCGACAAAACTGCCTGCTCACTAGTTTTTCTTTTTCCCCTTTGACTGTCCCCTACAGGCATGGGATAAAAAGGATACAAGAAAGAAAACATGCTGAGATGTAAATAAAACAAAGAAAACATGAAATGGTAAAGGAAACTAAATGGTAAGGCTCCACATGTCTCACCAAAGACATTGGGGATGCCTCACTGCTATGCCAAGATGTATGGTCCCAGCTGTAGTCCATGTCTCCTGTGAGGATCAGACAGACAAGATAGTGCAGCAAAGGAAAGGTGAAAGGAAGGATAGACAAAGATATAATAGATTTTGCATTTCTATCATCCTGCCTTTATATGCTTTACTCACTAGCATGTTATTTGGAAAAAGCAGAAATCCCAAACGAACGATATATATATACACATATATATATATGATAAGTGCAAGATAGTGTTTATGTTTGTGTGCATGTGTTTGTATTCTGTATATGTAATATGTAAGATTTTACAGATTTGGTACTACTAACATCACATTACATGCCAAACATAAAAAAGACATGAGAATATGACTGTTACAACCTTATGAATTTCAGAAAAAGACAGACAATTTATTGTAATGTAGCTTTTATTTGACCATGATTTTATCAGATCATGTTGAAAATTAGTAATTCCATTGGAATCACTGAAATATTATTTTCCCTACTATTTTTGTTTTGTTGTCAGATAATAATGATAAACAAAAACTAATAAATCAATAGTTATAGAATCTATATATTCTTTCTTAATATTGTTCTATAAAATGATCTTGACTTTTTAAAAGAAATCTCCTTAAATAAAACATTTATTTTTTCTAATGTCTTTAAAGTACTGATACACATAAACTATAAACAGAAATTTGTGCAATTCTGATTTCCTGTCTGAAATGTTTATTTCACATTTTTGCAAAAAAATGAGGCAACATCTATGGATTTGAGACAGACACGGACAAAAATATTGTCAGTTTTTGTTATTTTATTTGAATGTATTTATTTAAACAACATGGGGAAAAGGGAAAGTTCATAATTCTTTATCGAGACTTCTCTATTTTTTCTATTCTACAAACTCCCCAATGCACTATTAATGGAACATAAGTCTTCTACTTCAGTAGATATAAATATTTCAAATTTCTGATGTGCACGTGATGAAGGGGAAATAATGATTAGGACACACAGACAGGTACTCATGTAGTATCCTCAGCAACTCTAAAGTAAGCTGCACCTTTTCTTGGAGTTTATGTGCTTGCCACATAATCCCCCCAAAAATGATTTAAGAATTTAATGGCAATGGAATTTGGATTTAATTTTATAACAGACACGTGTTACAGTTCAACAGATTCTGTATTGTACTGTTATGTCCCATTATATTGCCATTTTTGTTTCAAAATGCTGGCAAAATATTGTCTTCTTTAAGAGAGTACAAAGAGTCACTAATCAAAGATGCACTGAAGCGAAATGAGCCATATGTACACATTGCAAACATAACCCAAAAACATCCTCCCCAACAGCTTTCTTTGGGCCCTAGTAAGATGAATTAAGAAATGAGGACAGTGCCTTTTATAGTTGCAAAAATAGATGTGATTTCAGAAAATATTAATATGCTGCAGTGATTTTAGACTGCATTCCAATGACACGTTAGTAAGACCCATGTGGAATATTACACCCAGTTTTGGATATAATAATTCAGAAAGGCATAGATTAATTAGAGAAAGAAAAGAGAAAGAACAGTCAAATATAGGAAAATATTTTATTAGAAAACGTTGAAGGAATATTTAGACTTGAAAAGAGTTGGGAAATTTATTTACATTTATTGGCCATTCCAGTAGACTCTGGGTCATGTACAAACTAGAAAAAAAAATTAAAACGGCTAAAAATATTAATTCAGACAGACAGCACAGACTAAAGTGATCCAACGGAGAACAAAATAAAACATGAGCCTTTAACAAATAATAAACATCAACCCTAGGCCTGGGACCAAAGCCAACTTTTCAAAGTTGTCCAGAACCCTAGGAGAGAAGGCACCATTTTTATCTCTGGGGAAGTGCTGTTCTAAAGGGTATGAGCTGCAACAGAAATGGCATACTTCCTAGGTATCACAAGAGGACAGTGTTGAATGGAAGGAACCCGGAGTGCACCTACTCTGCTGGCCCACATTGAGCAAGTAGAAACAATTGGAGTCAAGCAGTCTCTTAGATATGTTCTTCAAATCTCTGAATGGCTGCCATACAGAGGAAACCAGGACTTCTTCACTCAGTTGGATTATGTTATCATTTGAGTATTAAGGATAGATTCAAATAATGCAGTAAATTGGATAAAAATTGAGTTTGTAAGGCATTGCAGACCTGGGTATTCCACCCAGGTATTCAGGCTTGAGGATACACAAGCTCTGCTAGTTAATATTGTATATTTTACTGGTTGGAATTACAGTTTTTGACCTCAGATATTATTATTTGGATCTGTAATCTGCGTTTTTACCTTTGTATGTTGCCCAGAGTCACTATTGTGACATGAACACTAGGTAATAGTATAAATGAATGAATGAATGAATGAATAAATGAATAAATAAATAAATAAATAAATAAGGTATTCAATTAACATCTAACATGTTATGCATAACATCTCATGTGGACATTTTGTTTTGTTTCGTACACGGGTTTAAAGTTATTGTATTGTATATTGTATGAACCCAACCTAGGTGCCAAAAAAACCCAAATCCTCCATTGGAGTTGGGCAGCTAATAAATCTCATGTTAAAAATAGTAAGACATCTGAATATCTAAATCCAGTGTTGGATATATTGAATACTTTTTAGAATTTTTACTTTTGTTTCTAATAGTAACAAAAGTAAAAACTCTAAAAAAAGTAGTCAATATATTCAACATTGGATTCAGATATTCAAATGTCTTACTAAGATATTTTTAACATTAATGATTGAGGTAATGAGAACATTATTACTTAAAAGCTGTTTTCATCTGTGTCTTAATGGCCACCCCATTCATTCTGACTAAAGTTCACATGAGGTTTCATTATCACTTCATTTTCCAAATCAGGGCTATAAATTTTTGGATCCCAAATAAGAGGAAAGTTAATCTTAATACTTGGATCATAGTCAACACCCCCCTTTATCTTCTAAAACATTAATATACATTTAAATATATATATTTTCTAAAATGTTATTTGCAATTGTGGATTTTTTGAAAGAATTGTAATTGACAATTGCCACATTGGTTAAATTTGAACAACAGCCCAGACTAAGATATTTGAGTGCTATTTTGTATGGCCAGTATACTGTAGAAACCCAGAAATTTGAATTAATTTAGTAAATTAAATTTCTATTCATCATAAACTAGCATTTTATGTGAATACATGTTTTTTTTTAAAAAAAAAAATAGGGCCTTCATATCAAATCAATTCATTAACTGATGAAATAATATGAATCTATGAAGAAAAAAGTTAAATTGCTGTTGGTTCAGAGAAAAGAGATCTTAATTTAGGATTCTGTTTTTCACAGCAGCCACCTACATCTTTGCATGAAATCCATAAGCAAGACAAAACTGTAGATATCACTGGCTCTCAAGCAATTGGTATTTAAAGAAATACTATGTCTTGTCATCATAGCTACCAACCAATAAAAGGGGACTTAATCTCTTTTTAAGTCTTTTATTTCCCCTTTTAAAGCCACCCCTAAGTTTAAATGTGCTGCAGCTATTTTTATATCAAATTTCACCTTTAGTCTTCTCCCTATCCATGACAAATAAAATATTTCCTGCTCTACCTTACTTGCCATCATTCATCTAATTCAGAGGTGGGAAACTATGGCCTCTTTATGACTTGGGGACTTCAATTTAAGTCATGAAAGAGCCATAGTTCCCCATCCCTGATTTAAATGGAATTTTACAACAAAATCTAAAGTAATAGAATCATTTTGCATTATGATCCTAAAATGTTTCATCGTTTTCTTCAAGAAGCGTCATTCATTTAATCCACCAACTTCAGAAACATAGCAGAAACCAATGCAACCAGATAGACAGAATATTTCTTCAGACTCCCTGACATACACCAAACTCATAACTTCCTTCCTGACAGAATTTTTTTAAAAAATGGTGAGGTTGCAATTACTAGCTTGAAGAACAAGTCTTCCCCTGAAGAAAACTATCCAAATTTGCTTCTCATTGTATAACATTTTCAGATTTATCAATATTATTTTACTTTTGTGATGTTTTTATGTATATGCAATCTTTGTCCCTAATATTTCCTTACAGCACCATTTGCATTACTGAATATTATGACGAAGAAAAAAATTCTTTAAATCCTCTGCTTCTATACCACTTGTAATTTTATAAATTTGAAATGGCCATCTTGCCCAAGAATGTATAAAGATCTTAGCTATTTGATGGAAAATATGTAATGATATTTTATGTTGAAGAGATTGCTGAATTCTTGATAGAAGAATATAAGTCAATGATACATCATAGTCATCCATTTGTGATTTTCAAAATAAATTTTAAAAGATCTTTTCCAAGAAAACTTAATATATTGTTTGTTAAAAGCAAAACTTGAAAGGACAGTCTAGCATTGCAAATCTGTCTTTGAATTAGTACAATCTTTAAATCACCTTCTAAAGTACTTACAAGCAGGGCTTTTTTTCAGCCGGAACGCGGCGGAACCGCGTTCCGGCACCTTTTTCCGGGCCGGCCGCACCGGGCGCAACATCTGGGGGGGCGCGCTCGCACTCGCAGCTCTCTGCCCCTGCCTGGCTCACAACCGCGGCCATAGGGAGGCTCGGTCGGCGCGCCCCTGGCCCGTTTCCTAGGCGACCCTGCCCGAGNCAAGATAGTGCAGCAAAGGAAAGGTGAAAGGAAGGATAGACAAAGATATAATAGATTTTGCATTTCTATCATCCTGCCTTTATATGCTTTACTCACTAGCATGTTATTTGGAAAAAGCAGAAATCCCAAACGAACGATATATATATACACATATATATATATGATAAGTGCAAGATAGTGTTTATGTTTGTGTGCATGTTTTGTGCATGTTTGT